TCTTCTTCTTCTTTTCTTTTCTTCTCCTTCTCCTTCCTCTTCTTCTTCTTCTTCTTCTTCTTCTTCCACATCAAAGATTTTCCTTCTAGGTATGGCTGGCATCTATCTCTCCACCCCATAGCACCTTCCTACAGAATCAAAGCCTCTTTTCAAATTTACAATCCCTGACAGAGGCAGAGTATGCAGTAAGCAGGATAAGCATGGGCTTACTTGTGCTTACTTACTAACCTGTAGTGAAAAGTTGGTGAAAAACATGTGAAACTCTTCACTACAAATTAGTAAGTAAGCGTAAGCAAGCTGTTGCTTACCTTGCTTACTGGGTACTCTGCTCCTGTCTCCTGCATCTGAGTGCCAGGGGATGCAGGGAAAGCAGAAGCCTGGAACTGAAGGGTAGATTGTGTTCCAGGTCATTGGGTGTGCTGGTGAGCTTTTGAGCTGATTTCTTTGGGGAAGATGGGGCTCAGTCTTTCTCAGGGCTCCCTCCCCTCTTTTTGGCCCTGGGAACTCTGGAATATTTCCTGGGAACCTAAGAGGGTTTAGGGACATGCTTTGCTCCAGTGGCCCATGGTGTGGTGATGAAGCATGGTGAGCGCTTACGGCAGTGATTGTGGGATGGAGCAGGGTGGGGGATACAATGACACAGAACTTTTTCACAGGGAGATATCTAGCCGGTGACAGGGGTAATAAGGATTTGAAGAAGAAGGTGAGGTTGTTCCTCAGGACCTTGTGTGGGTCAAAATCCTCATACACTTGATGACCTCCTGACCCCTCTGACAGGAGTCCACAGAGCAGAGCCTGGAGTAGGATTTTCCTGACCCAGGCCCTTTCTTATCCTGGGAAGCAGTAAGCATATGAGAATCATTGGCAAACCTCGATTCTATGTTCCACACACACACAGCACCCAGAGAAGTCTCTAACCCTGCACTCACAGGGTTTTCACCAGACAAAGAAGTGCTAGGATCATGGGCCAGGAGTAAGGGAGGCCTCTCCGACCTTCTGCCCCTTCAGCCTCGGCCTTCCTGCCCTTGGTATTGCCTGCATTTAGGAGAAGAGCTGGATTCTGATGCAAGTCTTCCATGCAGCCAGAGCCCATCCATCCCCACAACTGAAGCCTGGTTCAAAAGCTTTCCATCAAGAATCTCCCTCCATGACACCAACTCCAAGTTAATTTGCAAGTGATCTGTGTTCACCCAATGTTTTAATGAAGAAAAGTACAGAATGCACCTCCAACACACACATGCCTTAGTCCTCATCCAGGTCCCTCACTCTTCCCTCCCAGTGGTCACAGCAGGCCCAGTGGGTCCCACTCTTCCTCCCTCTAGGGGCCCAGTAGGAAAATGAGAAGTTGGCTTCCACACTGAAGACAGATTCTCACTGAATCTGTTCTCCTGAAGCAGAGATGAAAGAAACCCAGATGGTGAGCATAGGGCAAGCTTGGTGTCACCCCAACTGGTGACTTAGCTTGGGGTCAGGAGGCTACATGTCCTCCTTCTTTTTTTCTTCCTCCTGGCCGAGTCTTCCCAGGAGGCCCTCACACCCCTCTCCCTGGGGCCTGGGCATTTCCAGTGGCTCCAGTCTCTTGGGGTTTGCTCCTCAGGCCCGCATATGTGTCAGGAATGAAGCTTTGAGGGCTGTCATCCATCCTGTGGCTGCAGGGCCTGGCAGGGCCATCCCAGGGTGAGGCAGGGCTAGGAGCTGGATTCTGCAAGATACGAGCACCAAGCTATTCCCGCTGGTTGGGAAGGGGCAGCAGATCTCCCACCCATTCTAAGTGGGGGTGGCAGTACAATGTGGAGGTTAGATCTGAAGGCTCTGCCACTGGAGTAGCTGGGTTCAAGTCAATAGCCACCACATGCTCTGCGAGCTTGGACAAGGCATATGAATTGTTGAATGATGGGAAACCAATTTGCTCTATAAACATTCACCCAAATTAGAATAAAAAAGAGAGAAAGAGGGAGAAAGAGAAGAGGCCATACTGGGAAGCTTAGGGGAGCAGTATGTGGCCCCTTCAGCCAAGAATTTTTCATTTTGTTCATCACTGATTGAGTCCACTGATCTCATTTTACAGATGGGCATATCAAGGCCAGGAGAAGGTCAGTGATGGCCAGGTTACATAACAGAGAGTCCATGAGAGCCAGGCTTAGAACCTTGGTCTCCCGATCCCTAGCCCAACCACTCTAAGGGGGGACAGGTCCCCTTCAGAAGGAGTTCCCTGAAGGCAGGCAGTGGTTGCTGCTCCTTTGACTCTTCCTCCCTACCTCCTCCACCAGCTTGGTGCCCTGCCAGAGCAGCCACAATTACCTATGACCATGAGAGTGGCTGTGCTGACAGCCTGGCCCAGTGTGTTCTCAGCCACAGCCTTGTACTGGCCACTGTCTTTCAGGGACACGTTGGGGATGATGAGGGAGCACACGCCCAACATATTGGTGCTGTAGACCACAGAGTTTCCTTCCAGGCTCTGGCCATTCTTGAACCAGGTGACATGAGGTCTGGGCACGCCCTGCACGGCACAGCTCATACGGCACTCACAGCCTTGTGGCAGCAGATGAGCCCGAAGGCCTACCAGGAACCGGGGCTTCTGGTTCAGGTTGGGCTCCTGGTAGCTTGGCACCTTCACGGTAAACTTGCCTGTGGTGAAAGTTGTGGATAATTGAAGGGTCAGAAAATGAGGAAGGTCTAGTCAAGGCAGCAGGGGAGGAAGAAAAGTACTACTACTACTAGGTACTACTAGGCACTGTGGTCAAAAGGGACCAGTCCCTGGAGAAGGATATCATGCTTGGTGAAGTGGAGGGTCAGCAAAAAAGGGGAAGACCCTCAATGAAATGGATCGACATAGTGGCTGCAATGATGGGCTTAAGCATAGCAAAGATTGTGAGGATGGTGCAGGACGAGGCAGTGTTTCATTCTGTTGCACATAGGCTCGTCAGAATTGACTTGATGGCACCTAACAACAACAGCAACACTAGGCATGACCTGGGAAAGGTGGCAGACTTCCTGATATCTTCCTTGCAACTCTGATGTTCAAGGGTGGAGTCTTTTTTTTTTTTTTTTTTAGTCCTTAAAATACTTTGGATTACTTTTTTAAATCCACATAACTTAATTTACATTCATTTGAACAAATGAGAATATACAGAGAATCAAAAGGAGAAAGAATAAAAACTAACCATGATCGCATTACTTATAGATCACTACCATTAACATTAAGGAGTTCTGGTGGTGCAGTGCCTAAGGTGTTTGACTGCTAACCAGAAGGCTAGCAGTTCAAACCCACCAACCATTCTGTGGAAGGAAGATGAGGCATACTTCCATAAAGGTTTACCATGTCAGAAACCCAACGAGGGCTCTAAAAGTGAGAATCGACTCAACGGCAGCGGGTAGTGGATACCATTAACATTTAGATATAGAATCTTCCAGGCATTTCTGTAGTTTATAAACATGAAATCACCCATCTTATTTTATTCATTTGTGTTGTTTGCTTTTTGTTCACTTGTTTTCACTTTTTTTATTAAAAAAAAAATGTTTTTCACTTTCCATTCCATTCTGAAACAAAAAAACAAACTCACTGCCATCAAGTCAATCCCAACTTATAGAGACCCCCCACTAGGTTTCCAAGGTTGTAAATCTTTGCAGGAGTAGATTGCCCCATCTTCCATCTGTAGAACAGCTGGTGGGTTTGAACTACTGACCTTATGGTTAACAGCCAAATGTCTTATCCACTACACCCACCAGAGTTCCTGCTTTTAAGATTCATATCTATTTGGCTATAAAATACACTTTATTTCCAGAGAAACATTAACCTCTCATCACCCAACGGTTAAGCACTTGACTGCTAACCAGAAAGTTGGTAGTTCAAACCTACCCAGTGGCTCCCAGGAGAAAAAGCTCTTAATCTGTACCTGTAAAGATTACAGCCTAGCAAATCCTATGGGGAAGTTCTACTTTGTCACCTGGGGTCACCATGAGTCAGAATCTACTCCGTGGCACCCAACAACAACAATAATTTACCTTATTGCCTGCTTCTTCCCTTTAGAGTCCCCCGCCCAAGGCATCCTAGACACGCAGACACCCCATAGCCCCTCTCACTCTCCTCTGGGACCCACCCTGGGTTGGGAACACAAAGGATATCACAGTAGATGAGTATTAGATAGGAGGTGGGATGAGCAACAGACGGGGTCCACCTATTTGTTTAGAAGTGCTTCCCATCATCTCTGCCATTGTAAGCCCCTCACCCCATTACCCACACCTCCTCCCACCCTGGTATTCATTGCACAACGGTGGGGAGTATGCCCACTGAGTGCTTGCCTCTGGTTGCTCCTCTCTCCCTGAGGGCCGTTAAGCAGAAGGTGATGCTTACCTCGCTGCCGGGGGATGTACCAAGGCTGGCTGGTATCTGAGGGTTTGCTGCTCCCCAGCTCATTCTTGGCCACCACCCGGAAGTGGTACTCATGGCCAGGGAGGACACTCAGGAGGGTAAAGTGGTTTGTGTGGACACGGTTGGCCACCTCCTGCCAGGAGCCGTGCGCTGAGGAGCGCATGAACACTGAGTAGTGCAGTGGATCACCTCTGGTCTCAGCCTCATCTGGTGAGGGTTCCCACTCGACTGTCACCGTCCCAAGCACGTTTTCCTGCAGGTGGATGGGCCCTGGCGCCCGTGGGCATGCTATAGAAGAGGAGGCAGAGGGAACTCACCTTAGGCAGGATCCAGCAGGGCACCTGAAAATGCTAAATGGCCTCTGCTGCGCACCACCCCCCCACACACACTTTTTTCCAGGTCTCCTGGGGTCCTTGGGAATGCAATCTTATCTTGCTGGTAGTTGGACACAGAGAGAGCTGGTCCAGGGGTGTATAGTTATTGCTAGAGGGTGGAAAATGTCTCCAAAAATCTTAATTTTAAACAAAATTACATACGACATGGAATGCTTTTTTCCTTTTTTCCCTGACAGAAGAGCTTTAATAAAAGCAAGTTAGTTACAGAGCCCCTATTGTGAGACTGGCCACCATTTCTGAATATCCAGAAATTCCTCAAGGTGGAGGACTATGTGGGGGTCTCAATTACTGGACAGTACTGGAACCACAGACAACCCTTCCCATGAGGCCTTTCTACTGATATAAGGTGGTGTATGTATTGAATTGTGTCCTCCAAAGTATGTATTGAAATCCTGGGACTTATACCTGTTGATACGATCCTATTTGGAAATAGGTTTTTCTTTGTTATGTTAATTAGATTATATCTGGAGTAGGGTAGATTCTAAACCTAATCACTTCTGAGTTATAAATAGAGCAGAATGGACACAGAGACACACACAGGGAAGAGGAAGACAGAGGATGGAGACAAGTGCATCTTCAAGGCTTACTGGCAGCTACTAGATGCTGAAACAGACAAAAAGGTATTTCCCCTTCTTGTCACACTCTGAATTCAGACTTCTAGTCTCCTGGACTATGAGAAAATAAATTTCTGTTCTTTAAAGCCACCCACCTGTATTTGTGCTAAGGCAGAGACACGTGGTGGCTACCTTTGCTTACTCAATCAAAATGGAGACTGACTGAAGTCAGGTGAGGGGGTGTGGCTTAATTAATAGCCCCTAAGATCCTGAGGCAGAAAAACAATAAAGCCCTCTCAAAGACTTTCCTTCAGCCTTTCCCCACTTTCTGCCTTGATGCACATAGGAAGGGCTGGAAGTGCTGTCCACTGGTATACCCAGGTCTGGTAGACTAGCTGAGACCAATGACCAGGCCAGATGGAAACCTCCAAGCCTTGGTGAATGGACAAGCCAGTGTTCAGGGCCTTAGCCTATGCCTACCTCACCTGCCACCCTAATGAGGAAGTTATAAGTGGCTTCCTTCCCCTGCAGGTTCCTCAGTACTATGGTATAGAAGCCGCTGTCTGAGAGTCTGGCCATAGGAATCAGAAGCTGGGTGAGGCCGTCCTTGGTGGTGGTCACACTTCTTTGGGGCAAGGGTAAGCCATCCTTCAGCCAGGTCACCTCAAGCTTCGGGGCAGCCTAGGGAAAGAGAGGAAGGAAATGTTCAGAAGGAAGTCTCATAGAAACAATGGCATTTAAGTTGGGACTAAGGGAGAGGCAGGAGCTCTGGTAGTGTAGTGCCTAAGGCATTTGACTGCTACCCAAAAGGCTGGTGGGTTTCCACCAGCCACTTCTCAGAAGGAAGATTGGACAATCTTTTTCCATAAAGATACCGCCTCAGAAACCCAAAGAGGGGTCGCTAAGAGTTGGATGTAACTTGGCTGCAGTGAGTTTTTTTTTTAAGGGACAGATGGTGGGAAGAGCATACTGGGAGCAGAAATTAGTCTGAACAAAAATGCAAGAGGTAGGAGGAATATGCCTGGTACAGGTGGTAATGAAGTGTGAGGTTGGCAGTGGATGGATGGAAGGGGATAAAAGAGGACACTGGAAAGGGGGGTTAGGTCATAGCTAACATACAGACATTTGGATTTTATTCTGTAAGCAATGAGCTGATGTTGAACAGTTTTCCTAACATAATTAGACCTGGATTCAAACAGGGGATGGGAGGGAGGAGGGCTGGGAGGGAATTGTTAGTACCCTGGTGACTCAGGAAGCCCTTCAGTAGTCTGGGAAGAAAATTATGTTGGCCCTATAATAGCAGTGAGCAGGATGGGGAGGCTAGTCCATCTGCCTGATGATTGTGCTACCAACACCCTGTGTGGCCCTCAACACTGGGCACATTGGGACATCAGAATCAAATGGGGATAATAACACCCCATGGAATTGTTCTGAGGGTTGAAGGAGTTAATATATGGGAAACACAAAGAACAAATCCTAGGACATAACAAACAGTGTAGTAAATATTCTTGTCATTGTCGCTATTATGATCTAACAGTTAAGAACATGTCATTTAGAGTTAGGGAGATTTGAGTTTGAATCTGACTCTGTCACCTATGAGCTTTCCACACAGATGATGATGATCATCACTGATAATAATAAAGGTAACACATACTGAGTGCTTGCCAGATGCCAGGCACTGTTTTTGAGCTTTCAATGCATTAATGCCTTTAATCCTTAGAACAGCTCTTTGAGATGAGGTACTATTATTATCCCCACTTGATAGATGGGAAGTTGAGACAAAGAGGTCAAGATATTTGTCTAAAGTCAAGCAGCTAGGGAGTGATGTCACCAGATTTTGAACCCAGGCAGTCTGTGCTTAATGACAACATACTGTCCTGCCATACTATACAGTCAGGTGGTGGAGGTTGAGGATCATCATTACTCAAAAGCAGGTTATAACTCGTGCAGAATACATTTTGGAGTCAAGGGAGATTACTCACACTGCCAAAAAACCAAACCCATTGCCATGGAGTCGATTCTGATTCGTAGAGACCCAAAGGTTTCCAAGGCTGTAATCTTTCCTTATAGGAACAGACTACCTGCTCCTGTACATAAACATCTTTCTTGCATGAAGTCGCTGATGGGTTCAGACCACTGACCTTTTGGTTAACAGCCAACTAACTACATAACCACTGCACCACCAGAGCTCCTTACCTCCACCCCATTCTCATGGCCATCAAGTTGATAGCAACTCATATCGAGTCTCTAAGACAGAGTAGAACTGCCCCATGGGGTTTCTAAGGTTGTAATCTATACAGAAGCAGACTGCCACATCTTTCTGCTGCAGAGCAGCTGGTGGGTTTGAACCCCCAACCTTTTGGTTATCATCTTTAACCATTGTGCCACCAATGCTCACCACCAGAGAAAACCAGAACCAAACCCACTACTATCCAGTCAATTCCTACTCATAGTGACCCACAAGGGCAGGGCAGAGTAAAATTGTCCCATAGGGTTTCCAAGGCTATAAATCTTTATGGAAGCAGACTGCCTCATCTTTCTCCATGTAGCAGCTAGTGGGTTCAAACTGCTGATCTTTTGGTTAACAGCTGAATCCACTATACCACCAGAGCTCCTTGCATTGGGCCAAAAACCAAAACACAAACAAAACAAAAAACCCACTGCTATCAAGTCAATTCTGACTCACAGTGATCCCCATTGGGTTTCCAAGGCAGTTAATTTTCACAGAAGTAGATTGTCTCATCTTCCTCTTACAGAGCAGCTGGTGGATTTGAACCACTGACCTTCTGGTTAGAGCCAAATGCCTTACCCATTATGCCACCAGCAAATCTACAGACTTGTCTGGAGATGTAGTACCAACATATACCACTAAAGGACCTTTAGACATTAACCAGAATTGCCACCTAGTGGCCAGGTGACGAGTTTGTCTTCAAGGAGCACTCTCCTTGAAAAATTTGGAACAAAATCATAAAAAAAAATAAAAAAAACCAGTCTTACAGGTTGGATAGAGACTGGTAGAACTTCTGAAATTACGACTCTTAATCACCCTTTCAACCTAGAACTGAACTCATCCGCATGGCTCAATTTTCAGCTAAATAATAGACAGACAGGCTCCTAACAATAATATTAGGAAGGAACAATCAAACATTTAAGATCGAAAGGGGAGCATCTGTCCAAGGACAAAGTTCAAAAGGCAAGAAGGGTTGAGAGAGGAGGAATGGAAATAAGAAACACAAGGAGGAAGTAGGATGTGTGATAATATATTGAAGGGCTTGTGATCAATGACATGAAACAAAATGTGCATGAATTACTGAATGGAAAACTGATTTGCTCTGTAAACTTCCACCCAAATCACAACAAACAGAGTGTTCTTCTCTTTCCTCAAGTTTAGTCTAATTCCTGGCAGAAATCCAGGCCCCTAATTAGGAGATCAAAGAACTGCAGGGCTGAGTCCAGCTCACTTGGCCGCTCTGAGCTCCTCTCCTCATGTCCCACTAGGTACACTTACCTCAAAGGAGACAGGCACACGAACCATGTCCCCAATCCTGACTGTCAGTGAGTCCTTTGTGCTGGAGTCCATGAGAAACTTGGGACAGACTGCAACACACAAGATGGCTTGTCACCTCTCTCTTCAGTTGGCCCCAGTTCCAGGTCACCAAAAAGGTAAAGCTGGCTGGAGAAGACTGGGCCAGCTTAACTAATGCTCAGGTCCTGTTGGAGACTGGAGGCTCAAAGGAACTAGGAAGGAGTTGGGGAGAAGGATCCTGGGGGGAAGTGGCAGGAGCTGGTGGGGAGATGCTAGTGGGAGAGGGATAAGAGATAAGAAAGGGAAGCCATCCAGGAGAGTGTTAGGATTAGGTTGGAGCAGAGGAAAATAGTGAATAACATAATCTGATCATTGGTTTTACAGATAAGGGAACTGTTCTTAGGCCAGAAGTGACTTACTTGAGATTTCACCAGTGGAGTTAGGGACAGAACCATGACAAGATTCTGGGACTCTGGACTCTGTGTGTAGTGTGCTTTTTACTATACTATGTCCCCCTTATTGTCACAGTGACAAATTAGGGTCAGTAGGATGGCTCAACGTTAGTTTGGGTCAAAGCAGGTCAGCTGCTTCCCAGGATCAAAGCCCAAGGAGAAAGATATTCTACTTTTCCATAATAAGAAATGTGGGGCATGGTCTACCTTGAGCATGAACTGCTTGAAGTGAGCAGCAAGTGTGCTTGGAAAGCAGTAAAGAATCCTGAGAAGGGCACCAACTTTGGAGTCAAGAGTCACCTGGCTTAAATCCTGCCTCTGCCACACACACAGTGGTAAATTGGGGATAAAATGATTAACCTAATAGGATTGTTATGAACTGTAAATGAGAAAACATTTCTGAAAAGGTTTACCTAGTTCAGTGCCCAGGACATAGTAGGTGCTCAATAAAAATTACTTCACTAAACTGGAAAGGGGGTTCCTGGCTCAGCAGGTGCATGGATGACTCAGGAAGAGTCTTTGGGAATCAGGGCTATGAGAAGGAGGTGGCACTTACCAGAAACAGGCATGGCTTGCACTAACGTGTCCAGGGCAGTGGGCTGACCATGTCCCCCGTTGTTAACAGCTGTCACCCGCACGAAGTAGCCCTCTTGGGGCCGAAGCCCCTTGACTGTGTAGGTGGTAGCTGCTACAGTGCCCACATGGCATGGGCTCCATTGGAGACTGTCTGAGCCACACAGCTCCACCACATACCCCAGGGCTTCATCCCCATCCTGGGTGTCCGGCCGGGCCCAGCTCAGGGTAAAGCTGGTGTATGACGTCTCTGTCACTTGGAGATCCTGCACAGGCCCAGGAGGTCCTGGCCAAGCCCATGGGGATGTCAGGAATAGCATTACCCTTGGGAGGTAGATGCTATTCTTAAGCCTTCCTTGTGGGAGTCTAAAGACTTCTATCACTTAGGAATTCTGCCTCTAGACTTTCTTGAAATACGTCCCTGGAACTGATTCCTTATTGGTCCCATTGTGCATCACATATCCCAGGTCATCTTCTCCAGGAAGCTACCTCCAACTCATTCTAGTCATTTTCCAACCTGCCTACATGAAGGAACATCTGCTACCCCTCCCTCTTGTTGTTAGTTGCCATCAAGTCGATTCTGACTCTTAGTGACCCCATGTGTGACAGTATAGAAGAGCTCCATAGGGTTTTCATACACATTTGTGTGTGTGTGTGTGAGTGATTTGGGTGAAAGTTTACAGAGCAAATTCATTTTCCATTCAACAGTTCATACACATTTTGCTTCATGATGTTGATTCCAATCCCCACAACATAATAGCTCTCTTCCCACTTTCTCCTCATGGTTACCTTTTCCCTATGTCCTTCTTTCCTATGCACTCCTTCCCTCTGAGTTGTCTCTCTGTGCAAATACTGCCCTTCTGATCTCTCATTGTTGATTATTCTAAGGAGTATATTCAGAAGTAAGGTGGGGCAATCTACTTCCGTAGTGATACTGCCT